TCACTTTGCCTAGAGAAGACTGATGATGAGACTCACATCAGACTTCTAGGGACAACAAGGCATCAGACAGCAAGGATAGATTTCAAAAGGAAAAACCTACCAGCCTCAAATTTTGCATTCATCAAAATTACCCTTCAAAGCATGGCCATCAAGAAATCAAGAAATCAAATCATAACAAGTGCAGGCATGGCTGCAGGAAAAAGGTAAACTTCCTAAATTATCGATGGGGATGTAAACTAGTCCAACCACTGTGGAAATCACTATGGGGGTTTTCAGAAAATGGAAACTAGAAAGGCCATTAGACTCAGCTCTCCTCCTTCTAAGTATCTTCCCCAAAGAGTTAAAGACACCACACGACAGCATTGCACACACACCCATGTGTATAGCAGCACATAACAGCTAAATCATGTACCAATAAAGATAAAAATATTTTCAAAAAGAAAACCCCTTTGCCTGCCTCTTGGCATGCCTCAGATTTTGTGGTCAGAGCTCCCCTGACACTACCCTTGAACAGCCTGCGATGAATGATCCATTGAAAGAAAGGTTCTCCAGCAAGCCCACATGTGTTTCTAGTTTGGCCCTGTCACCCCAGCCTGCTGCTCTGGCCCAGCCCAGTCAGAGCCCAACAAGCTCAGGCCCCACCTGGCTGAGGCCTGCCCTCCTCACATGCTGTCTGGTCTGAACAGGTTTGCTGTCTTTCTCTGCAAGCAGAGGGACAGAAAGGACACAGACCTCACCGGAGTGCACCTAGGGCTTTGTGTGTGCTTTTCCTAGATAGAGGGTAGGGTTTTTAAACCCTGAGTGTAGGATTCCTTTTCCATTAAAGAAAACTGTGTTAGTCCCTGTTTGTAGCATGTGAAGTATGTGCTGATCCCCTGGAATAGAGAGGTGCATGCAACACATCCTGATTCTTTCCTAGTCTCCTCCCTCTCTGACCCTAAGTCCCCCTTCTCCCCCTTTTATAATTATTCTTCTTGTAGTGCTTGTTTATGACACTCAGTGGGGACCTGGGCACCTGCACGTGATACATCTTCTTTTTAATTCTCTCCCCTTGCCCACTTCTCTCACCCTCAGCCTCCTGGATCCTTTCCCATTTGTGAAAGATTTTCTCTCTCTCTCTCTCTCTCTCTCTCTCTCTCTCTCTCTCTCTCTCTCTCTTTCCACCCCATATCCTTTTTCCTCCTGTTTTCTTCTATCAACCCTTTTAGTGTGATTCAAATGAAAGCTATCCTATAGAATTTAAGCTCATGTGTCCAATCATTTCACTTAACATTCTATTTTCCAAGTGTATCCATTGTCCTACAATGCCTTGAATTTACCCTTATTTATAGCTGAGTGGTATTCCCGTATGTATAGGCACTTCATTCTCTTTCTTCATTTGTCTGTTGATAGACATGCAGGCTGCTTCCAGGATTTAGCTGTTATTGATTGCACTGCCATAAACACTGGTGCACATGTATCACTGAACAGAAATAGATGAGTCAAACTTCCAATTTTAGTGCTTTGAGAAATCTCCATACTGATTCCTATAACGGTTGTACGAGTTCACATTCTTACCAGCCATTTAGAAGGGTTACTTGTTCACTGAAGTCATGCCTGCATCTGTTATTTGATGTGATGATTTTCATTTTTTTCTGGTGTAAGAAGGAACCGTTTCTTAGAAAGGCATTGGTTTATTTATCTGTATACAGACATACACTTATATAATTGACTAACCTTGCATTCCAAAGGGCTGCCTGTCATTCATTATTTCAGGAGAATTTGATCATTTACTTGTCTGAGGGGAAAAGGTTGGATTCTTTGTAGAGAATTGCATATTATAAATAGAACCAAAATAGTTTTTGGTGTCTGGAGATCTCTAATGCCAACAGCATTCGCTGTATTTTTGATCAGATCTCATAAAGATGCATTTGACCATCCTAAATGTGCGTATATACAATTACAGGTATATAGATATTGATTTAGATGGTTTATAGATGGTATATTTCTATACATGGATATACAAATCCTAATGTTTCCATTATAGTGAAATTATTTTGATACAGTTTACCTTACATGATTACTTGTGTATTTCCAAAAAAAAGGATAATCCATTCTTTTGTTCCACTATTTTTCTGTCTCTGCTGATGTTTTGTTTAATTCATCAAAGGGCACACCTTTACTATTTGCTATGATCTGAATGCTTGCCCTCCCCACCTCACCATTCCTGTTGAAATCCGATCATCAAGGTGTTGGCATTATCAGGGCGGGGGATGAGTAGAGCTCTTGGGATTAACGTCTGTCTTGTCCTTCAGACAGGGTGGCTTCAGACAGGGTAGTTTCTATACAGAAACTTACTGCTGCTAGTTCTGGAGGTGAGGAGTCCAAGTCTTACCCCACTCTTCCATGAGAAGGCTGAACACTTCCCCTGGGGCCTATTTTATTAGGACACTGCTATGGCTTGAATGTACGTCTCCCTCCAAAACTCTGTGTTAGGGCCTAACAGGCCATAAAAAGAACATAGAGAGTGGGGAGTATTTATGGAATTAATCACATTATAAGAGTTCTCTGTCTTCATTGCTTTTTGTTACTGGGACGGCATACTGGACACATACAAGTCAAAGGAGGAAAGGTTTACTTTAGCTCACAGTTTGTAGAAGTTTCAGTCCATAGTCAGCTGGCACCAATGCAAGGCAGCATGGCAGAGGGGCATCACGGAGAAGAAACAGTCCAAAGCAGGGTAGGCAGATGCAGTGAGCCTGTCTCCCCTCTCTCTTTATATGGCACCCCTGCCCAAGGTGGGGCATCTGTCTTTAGGAGATCCATTCTACACCAGTCCAATCATCAATTTGTCCAGTTGTCACACTCATGATCCAGTAGTGCCCCCTCATCAACCAGCCACCTCCCCAAAGTGCTAGCTATGACTGTATGAGGCTTTGGGGAGACATCTAGATATAAGCTACACCCTACTTATAAATAAGTGTTTATAAATCAGTGCTTTTATGGAGGGCATTAAGAAGCAAGTCCTCCATCTCGTCCACTGCACCACATGAACACAGTCTGTTCCCTTCCACGGGCACCAACAAGGTGCCATCTTGGAATCAGACAGAGAATTCTTAGCATATCTACCAGATAGTGATTTAGTTTTATACCTTCCAAACTCCACAAATAAATTTGTCTGGTTTATAAGCTACTGGGTTTTTGGTAATTTTTACAGCAGCCAGTGTTTGTTAGCTTTGCATCACTGTGACAAAATACTCAAGATGAGGAGCATGAAAGGATAAAGGACCAATTTTGGCCATGGGTTAGAAGTTTCAACCCATGGTCACTTGGCTCCATTGTTCTTGTGTCTGTGTTGGGGCTGAATATTCTGGTGGGGAGAGCAGAACTGCTTACCTTGTGGCAACAGAGAGAGAGAGAAGGAGGGAAAGAGACTGGGAGGGAAAGGAGAAAGGGCTTGGGGATAAATATACCCTTCAAAGACACACCTTAGTGAACTGTTTCTTCCACAGAGGTCATAATTCCTAGGGTCTCCACCACCACTCAGGAGTTCATGAAGCTAACCCTAACCCTAAGCTAACCCTAACCCTAACCCTAACCCTAACCCTAACCCTAAGTGGGTTAATCCACTCATAAGGCCAGAGGCCCCATCTCCAAAAGCTGCTGCCTTTGTGAGGGAGCTTTCTACACACAAACTTAGGGAACTTTTAGGGTCCCACATAAGTCCCAATGGACTGGATCCCCATTCTTCTTTTTCCTGCTTTTTAGAAGTGTAATTCACAGTTATGTGATCTTCTATACAGAATGTGAAGTTATTTAATGAGTGCTACCATACACAGTCCCCAACATACCCGGGACTCTCCTAGGAGCCGCACTGTTTTTAATTTGACTTGGGAAGAACTGGCCTAGTTTTGATGGTGACTGCTTCCCTGAGAAAATAACCTCTCTGCTTTTCCATTCACTCAACCTTTTTCTGCAACTCAACCAAAGTTGATCATAAAGATATTACAACTTGATGAGGCTTATTCTTAAGTATTTTATGACTGTCGTTGCTATTGTGTATAAGGCTTTATTATTTCACTTAATAGGTTACACCTTGCTCAAAAGAAAGTTTCTGATTTTTCTTTCTTTTATTTACCTTGGGTGAAGCCTTTTAAGGAACTAAGTTTAAACAATGTCGGACCCCAGGTTTTCAGTGTTTCCTATTATGTGTGTGTGTGTGTGTGTGTGTGTGTGTGTGTGTGTGTGTGTGACTCACTACATAGTTTAGGGTGGCCTCAAATTCCTGGTGATCTTCCTGCCTCAGCCTCTCAAGTGCTGGGTCCTATCATCTGAAAATGTCAACAGTGCCTCTCTGGTGGGAGGGCTGGACACTGAACGTTTCCTGTAACATCTAGGACCCTGTTCTTTTCCTGGACCAAGCTCACGGGGGCTTGTGAGTCGTGTGTGCACCACCAGGTCTTTGCTCAGCCACCTACCAATTGTGTAAGCCTGGGCACTTGCTCAGTACCTCTGAACCTCAGGGTGCTCATCTCTAAAGTGGGGATCACGGTAGTTCTTAATTCAGAAAAGCCGTAAGCAAATGGAAGCACTCAGTGCATTACAAGGCCGACAGGAAGCATGAAAACACTTGCTGTACAGGTTATCTCCTGGGATCTTTCAAGCCACTTTGGAAATTCCTTTTTTCAAGGAAGGAAATCAAAGCTCCCTGAAGGAGGTGATCCACCCAGGGTGACTGGGATACATTAGGGATGGTGGAGCAAGACAGCGCCTCGAAAATAATGCACTCAATGAACTCCTCCCTAGACAGGATTTAAATCGCACTAAAAGGCGATAAACTTATTCTACCTGGCGCTGGCTTCGTACCGGAAGACACACGCCTCCTCCGAGCAAGGCCAACAGCCAACAGTTTCAGGTTTCCGGCAGAAAAGACGGAAAGAGCCGAGGGCGCTCGGATACGCTCGCCAATTTTCGGCCTCCTCCGTGAGGGGGCGGGACGCACGCTTCGGCACGTTCCGTGCAGGGCATTGTGGGAAGGGCGGCCGGTGCAGCCGCAGCTGCCATCTTAAGAGACTCCTTGCGTTACGGCCTTCCCGTCGGAGACGGCCTGCGCGGCGGCGGGAGCCCGCAGAGTGCCACAGAGAGGCAGACGGAGGGCAGCGCGCCTTCCTACAGCCTCGGCAAGCCAGCCAGCTAGCGCTCGGAGGCGGCGGCGGTGAGCGGTGCGCGCGTGAGGGGCCAGAGGCCGGCGTCGTCGGCGCGTCGCCGGAAGGATGGGCCGGTCGCGGAGCCGGAGCTCGTCGCGCTCCAAGCACGCCAAGAGCAGCAAGCACAACAAGAAGCGCAGCCGCTCCCGCTCGCGCTCGCGGGACAAGGAGCGCGTGCGAAAGCGCTCCAAGTCCCGGGAGAGCAAGCGCAACCGGCGGCGCGAGTCCCGCTCGCGCTCGCGCTCCACCAACGCGGCGGCGTCCCGGCGCGAGCGGGAGCGGGAGCGCGCCTCGTCCCCGCCCGACCGCATCGATATCTTCGGGCGCACGGTGAGCAAGCGCAGCAGCCTGGATGAGAAGCAGAAGCGCGAGGAGGAGGAGAAGAAGGCCGAGTTTGAGCGCCAGCGGAAGATGTGAGCCCGCGGAGCGGCGCGGGAGAGTGGGGGCGGGGCGGCGGGGACGCGTCGTGGCGTTGGGGGACAGTGGGGAGGGGTCGGGGTGCAGCGAAGTGGGTTCAGGGGGCAGCGGGTGGCATTGGGGGACAGCAGAGAGGGGTCAGGGGGGTAATAAAGACGCAAAGTGGCGTTGGGGGACAGCGGGGACGGGTCGGGGGCAGCGGGGACCCGGGGTGGCGTTGGGGGATACTGAGGAGGGCACGGTGGGCGCGCGGGGTGGGGTCGCAGGAGGCGCCGTTTGCAGGGCCCGGCCTGAGTCGCCGTGGTATGGCGGGCTTTCCCCAAGTTTGTAAAGCCCGGGCCGGTACAGAGCCACGAGGAGGCTGGAAGGGAAAATCGCGGAGCTGTAGCGGCAAAGTCTCGAGGCCAGAAAGCGATTTTGGCGCGAGAGCCTGGGGAGTCCCGGAAGTAGGGGAGGAGTCCGCGGTGCGAGCCGGGGAAGGCCCAGGAGGACCCGCGAGAGGTGGGGCGTGCACGCCGGCCCGCGTGGACTAGGGTAGGGAAAGCGGTGGGACCGGGACATGCGGAGCGCAGCTGGCCGGAGGCAGCCTTTTACCAAAGCCTAGATTTGGGGCAGGGGTCAAAGGCATTTCTTAGGTGGTCCACTCCCCGTAGGTTTTGCTTCTGTTTGTTCCTCTTAAAGTTGTGGCTGCTTTTTTTCCTTCTGACCTTTATTACCCTGTCTTTTTTGAGATGTGAAGAAACGAAACACGTCAGTATACAGTGTGTGATTAGTTTGACCGGTAAATTCACCTGTATGACCGTCGTCCCAGGCGGCCCCTTTTCTTTCTATTTGTGCTTTATATTTCTCTAGGAAGCAGGTGCATTCTTGTCTCTCTCTAGTATACTCGTGTGAAAGACACTTGAACATTTGCTTTCGTTTTTGTTTTGCATTTTCATGCAGAACTTTTATGTAGGCAAAATCAAGGGTCCTTATTTGAAATTCGGTTTGCAGAGAATCATGTGATTTTTTTTTTTTTTTTGAGTCACCTCTCAGATGATTTTACATTAGAGTAGGTATCTTACTAAATGAATCTCTGGATTTTAAATGTAGTTTTGTTGTGTTTTTACTTTGAGATTATGGCACACAGTGCTAGTACTCAGGCATTGTGTTACAGAAAGCCTCCTAGGGAAGTGGAGTTAAACAGTGCTAACTCTCTGTTTAAAACAGCAGTCTTCATATCTTTAGTGAATATTTGAGAAGTGCTCATAAGGCAGGAATGTTAGAGAACTTGCGCTTTTTCTGAAAGGAATTTGTGTGTGCAAAAATATCTGGGGGTTATAGTTTCCTGCAGTTGGGTTTGTATTATGTAATTTTCAGCACATCTTTTTTCCAAGCGTAGCTAAAATTACAGAGGAAACTGGAGCTGTTTTGCTGTCAACACTTCTTTAAAACCCTTGCAGCTTTGGCTTTTCCTATACTGGAGCTGTCACTGAAACGTGAAAACAAAGGTGAAGTAATTGTTTCTTGGTAAACCTTGAATTTTTTTTTTTTTTTTTTTTAAGGTCTAAGTTTTGGGTCTGGAAAAGGCAGATAAAGTCCTTTTCAATAGGGATGTGAAAAGTTGCCTAAGAGGACATTGACATAAATTCTTAATGTGAGAACAAAGGAGATCTCCAAAGAGTAACTACAGTACTCTGCTTCACTGGAAAGCTAAGAGGTGTAGGAAAAATGAAAGGCAACTTCAGCAAAGAAGATTGCAGGCATTTAGCAAGCTGCACATGGGCAGTAGAGATCTGTGATGCAGCTTGGAGAGTGGAGCAGTTAGGTGTTCTGAGCTGATGAGTAGATAGCAAGCATCTAGGAGACAGAACAGGGGCATGGGCACCTGCACCCTAAGTTCCTCCGCGTCATGCATGTGCTAGTGTGGTCTGAGGTGTTGGGAGGGATGCAGAGACAGTGATGGAAGGTTGGTTGAGGATGAGAAGTGGTTGTCTGCGCAGATACTGTTCGGTGTGGTTATTCAGCTAGTGGTCAGTACTAGTCACGGCGAGGCTAGAAATCATGGAGAGTTGTGTATCATGAAAAGGAGCTTCGGTTCCATTCTAGAAAACAGGAAAAGTTTCGAGCCAGTAAATTGCATGTCCTCCTTTTACGTTCTAAACTGATCCCACGTTCTAAACTGTGTTATAGGGTGGAAATTGAGAGGGTACTGTAAGTTGAGGCAGGGATATTAGGGGCAGTTAGCAAAAGACGTATTCAGGAAGCATGGGGCGTGTGAATTGTCAGACATAAGTGGAAATGTCATGTTGAGAGTGTGGCTCTCACAGCTCATCTGCCTTTCTCTTGCTGCTGTGCGCCTGTCCGTGGCTGCAGCCTTAGCTACTTGCTGAGGAGAGGTTGAGGGGGAGGCGCAGTGAGGGGCTTCCGTTTGGCACTCCCGTGGGGCCTGGTCTAGGGTTCCCTGAGCTCCTCTAAGTTGGTAATGGAGGGTTGAAGCCAGGCGAGGCAGCTTCAGTGTGTGGTTGAGACAGTGTATGACATGGTCCAGGCAGAGGATGAGGAGGGACCCGGTGAACCTTAACAGATGTGGGTCTTGGCCATGGGAAGTCCGTAGTGGGAGCAGAGGAGACATGGTAAGCGATTTGGTATTGGCTGTGCCTTCAAGAAGTCTAGAGGAAGATGGAGAAATGCAGTAAGAGAATAGTCATTTGTTGAGTTTAACCAACGGGGACTCTGTGGTACAGTTAGAGACCAGATTGGTTTGCTGCTTCAAATTCTGAGGCTTAAATAAATCACTTCTGAGCTTGTTTCTTAGCTGTGACATGGTGTACCTGTGTTGTGAAGGTTGGAGATTGAATGTTTGAAATACTTAGTAGGTAATAATGCATGGAGCTGGATTCAGTGACCGGATAGAGCTGTTCTTATCAAGGGAGGGTCCTGGTGGGCAGACACCTCATCTGTCCTGAGGAATGAGTGTAGAATGTAAGAAGGCAAGGCCGCCAGGGTAGCCACAGGGTAGATCCGTGGTCCTGAAGCATGCTTTTCCACTCTGCCAGAATCTGAGGTTGAAAGGAAGTGGTGCTTGGCATTCAGCGAGTCTCAGTGAGGTTATTTAATGTAGCTCACCTGCTGAACTTAATAGTTGTAGCCCTGGTACTGTAAGACAGTAGCAGTCCCCAACCTTTTGGATTCTAGAGCTAAGTTTTGTGGAAAAGTTTTCCCACAGGGCCGCGAGTCTTTTAGGATCAGAATCTCATGGAAGCTTACAGCCTAGATCCCTGACATGCACAATTCATGGGAGGTTCCTGTTCCTTTGAGACTCTTACTGCCCCTGCTGATCTGATGGGTGCAGCTCAGGCAGTGATGCCAGCCATGGGAAGCGGCAGTAGATGCAGGTGAAGCTTCCTTACACTCTTCGTGCTGTGCAGGCCTGTTCCTAATAAGAAAAGACCTGTGTCTGTCTCTGGGCCAGAGGTTAGGGACTCTGAGAAAGAAAGAGTCATTATTGAGTAGCTAATCCACATAGTTCTAAATTAAATTCAGAAGATAACCCTCTTGTTCCTGCAGTGTAGTGTGAGTCCCTCTTACCCTTTTCTACACCAGTATTTCCACTTTGTTTTGTGTGTTTTTGAGGTGATGTATAAAGGCTGTGTGAGCTGTTGGAGATGAAAATGACTTATGGCAAATCAAGAAAACATTACTGACCCAGTGACTTACTCTAACCTGTGACACAAAGGTCTGCCTGTCCTCCCTGTTTAACTGCAGGGCACATTAAGAGTACCTAAATTGAATGAGGTCTGTGCAGGTAATTCTTAGGAGATACATAAAAGGGCTCTGTATTAGCTAAGCTGCTTTGCTGTTGCTGGAACAGAATACCCAGCACCCATCATTTAAAGAGAGATATATTTTGATTCAGATTTTCAGTGGGTTCAGTACACACTCAAAGGCTGTGGAAGAAACAGTGGTTGAAGGAACATGCCAGAGGGAGACCTAATGGCCTCAGTTGTCAGACAGCACAATACAGGGGGAGCCAGAGAAAATCCACCTTTAAAGTCACACTGCCTCCACCAGGTGACTGGGCCTGCCTCTGTTGGACCTGCATGGGAAATTAAGACCTAGACTATAAAAGCTCATGGAGACGGCTGGTAACAGCTTGAGTCTAGGTGTCCCCCAAAAGCTTCATGTGATCATAGGTGGGGCTTGCTCAGAGGTGGCTGAATCTTGTGTGATGCTGGGGTTAAGGGTGAGCGGTTACTAAATCAGCCCACCTAATCCTGGTAGCCTAGAAGACTGAAAGGGGCAGAAAGAAGCTGTCAAGGTGTTTTGCTACCTTCTGCTCCCCATGAACTGTTTCTCCTCTGCAGCGCCTGTCTGCCAAGCCATCCTGCCTTGGAGCCAGCTGACTGGACTGAAACGTCTGCAGACTGCTCTAAATAAACCTTTCCTCCCTTAATTCTGGATGCCAGGTACCTTGTGTCAGCAAAAAAGAAAAATCAGGACCAAGAAGAGATTTTTGAGCAGCTTTGCTTTTTGGACTATATGTTATTGGAAGTAATGCTGTGAATCAGCAGCAGAGCACAGCATTCTGGCTGCTGTTGAGGACTTTGTGAATTTTTCTTTGTGCTTTTTACTAGCCCTTTTAGTAGTGTCCTCTTGCATTTCCCTGGCTGTCAGGTAAGGTAGTACAGTTAGTAGTCTGGAGTCTGCCAGTGTTTATAGTCACAGCTCTGCAGCATCAACAACTGCTTAGCTTCAGCTTCCTCATTCAGAATAAAAAATGAGAGGTCAGTACCCGCCTGGTAGAGGGATCTGGAGGTTAAATCCTGCCGCACTGTGTGAAGCGCTCCTGGGCACAGTGTGTGATGCCCCCAGGTACTAAGTCAGTACCTCTGATCTCGGATGGCAGACGGTTGATGGTGTGGTGCCGTTCCTAGAAGGAAGCCTGGTAGAATTGGAGTATTAGACTTAGCAGTCCCATGCAGTCTGCCCGGGTCCCACCCTTGCAGCTGACCTGCTGCACTCTTAACGGTTCACAGCAGATTATGACTAGTGTTTTTAAGATACCTGAATGTGGGAAAGATGGAGACCTGATGGTGCAGTACCAGGTCCATTGAAACACTGATGGTGTGTTCTGCAGCATGTGCTCTTGGCCGGTAACAGATTCTGCCAGGTGTGAAGAGGAGATTAAAGGATGCTGTGTGGCCATAGTTCTCTGCATGTGCAGGATTATATCCCGAGCCCAAGGATCACCACAGAGGTTCCACCTTGCAGTGCTTGTGGAAGATGGGGGTTACACCCAGGAGCTCAGCCTGGGTGTCACAGGAAGACATTTCTGCCAGGCTGTGCTGAAGGAGCAGGATGGAGGCCCTGCCGTCCCACTGTGCTCTGCCTTGGTGAGGTCATGGTAGGGAGGACGCAGGGGGCCGCCCGGTCCTGACAGTTGGCCAAGTTCGAGTCCCATGTGGTCCTTCCTTCCCTCCCTCTGCACTGACCAGGTCCAAGGAGAGGCGGCCTGCAGCCCTGTGCTGTTGTTTGGGGGCAGCCTGACAGGAGCCTGATGTGGCCTAGGTCCTTCCACCTTCATCACATTGCGAAGCGGGAGCTTCTCTGCTTACATGCTTACACTGGGCCTTGCCTTGTTTTTGCACCTAGTCTGTACTGGCTTGAGCAAAACTTTGGGATCCTGTGTCTTTTGAAAAATCAGTAGTGTTTCACTTAGTGTCGATAATTAAGAATTGCTTTGTAATATATTTGAGGTTTTAAATACTTTCTTTTAAACCTTCATTCTATTTACTGATTTCCAGAGTCAACTAGAAAATGTATGTGGATGGAAATATTAAGAAATAAAAAATATATGTATAGGTATGTGAGTGTGTGTGTGTGTGTGTGTGTGTGTGTACATATAAAAAGGAGTATGAAAAACTTAGATATACAAAAGAACAGTTTATTATTCTTATATACTCATAATCCAGATTCAGTCATTGAGAACCTTGCTTATTATTTATTCTTAGATACTCCGAGAAACCTTTTATATTGAAATTGGCATTCACTTCTCATTGAATGAAGTCCCTTAATTTCTTTGAATACGACTGTTTTATTTTTAGTGTTGTGGAACATGTGTGCTCTTCTGCTGAGCTTTGCTGTGGGTAAAAGACCTATTGTAATTACCCTAATCCTACATTTATGTAGAAGCAGCAAAATGAGCATAAGTCTTAGGCTCTCATATACCTTTTAAAAAGTTAGTTTTAGGAAAGAAATACTTTAAAAGAAGCAAGAGTCCTCAGGGTGTCCTCAGAGTGGGCATTGCAAATACCTAGGACCTTAAGGCAGAACAAGCGTTCTCTAGTGTCTGCTGCCTCCTTGTAGGGGCTGATGGATGCTGAACCAAGCAATGGTAGAGGGTGGATGAGGAACCGATGTGAATCAGTCGTTGAAGATAGTTTGGTGTTGGTCTGATATCACTGGAAACAAGTAATAGGGGTTGAGAATGAAAGTTCTTAGCGAAGATTGCATTGCCCCGAGACTAGAACTGAGTTGAGTTAGATTGAGATCTTTAAAGGTCACACAGCGGGTCTATTAGATATCAGTTGTAGACTGTCTTACATGTATGTCAAATCATTTATCAAAATTTGTAAACATTGCAAGTTTTATTTAGGTTGGTGGGTTTGTGAGAAGGTTGAGCTTTAATACATTGGCCTCTCAGAATTTAAATACACTGAGGAACTAGGGAGCATGAGTGCCTACCTGGCAGACGCAAGGTTGTGAGTTAGATTCCTGGTATAAAAAAGTTAAATATGCCGTAAGAGCCTCTGATTGATTCCTTCAGCACAAGTTATTGTCTTTGTGTGCTGCTGGACAGAAATATGATGTGAACACCATGCACAATTAGAGATTTTCTAGTAGCCACATCAAAAACCAGTAACATTAATTTTTAAGATTCTCAGTTTATCCTAAATAGTTGACAGTATTTGAGAGCTTGTGTTTGTCTCAGTAGCAGTCGTTAGATACACGAGGCTGGTGGCTGTTGCTGGTGTAGTGTGCAAGACTTGCAGGCTAGCATTTGATAAGTGCTAAGACTTTCAGCGCAGACTTTTGAGTAAGTTGCTTTTATAGTGTCACAGTGGGATTGAAGCAATTAAAACAGTACTATCATGCTTCACTAATGTTTGATAATATATTTTCACCTTTCTGCTTTTCCTCCCTCTAGAGATGCTTGTAGTTGGAGTCAGCTAGCAAAGGAGAAAAGTAGATGATAGACAGTTCCTCTATTCTTATTTAACACAGTAAATAAGTTAGCCTGCATTTTCAGTAAATGCTGCCCAGACTATGACTTCAGCATTCTGAGTCCCGCAAGTTTGTGTTCTATCTTTGCTTCCAGAGTAAAGGGGAAGTGAATGCAACCAAACTGCCAGCCAGGTGGGTAGCCTCCTGACTTGCTTGTAGGCCAGGCCTGACCTGGGTCACCCACATATCTTCACAGCTTGTCCTGGCATGGAGGGAGTTAGGAACAAAAGTGGGCTTGTTTCATATTTATAGTTCCTGAATAAAGCTTAGGCTCTGTGAATATACCTGTGTTTCTCTAACTAGAATATGATAGAGTTACCTAGATAAAGTGAGGTTCAGTGATTTGCCAGTCTTAAAGTGAGTGGTGGGTAATTCTTAGGTTTTTGAAATACCTAAGTCTCTCCTGTGCTCTGTTTGCTAGTCGGCAGCAAGAAATAGAAGAAAAACTCATCGAGGAAGAAACGGCGCGAAGAGTGGAAGAATTGGTGGCAAAAAGGGTAGAGGAAGAACTGGAGAAAAGGAAGGATGAAATTGAGCGAGAAGTTCTCCGAAGGGTGGAGGAAGCCAAGCGCATCATGGAAAAGCAGTTGCTCGAAGAACTCGAGCGACAGAGACAAGCTGAGCTTGCAGCCCAAAAAGCTAGAGAGGTAACGCTCGGTCGTTTGGAAAGTAGAGACAGTCCATGGCAAAACTTTCAGTGTCGGGTTGTGCCTCCTGCTCAGTTCAGAAAGAGATGGAATACAGACTATCGAATTCCTTTCTCATCTAAACTTACATTGCTGCGAAAGTTAATTTTCTAGCCTATTCAGACGTGCTGACTGATACGTAAAAGTTCCTTTCATAAAACGTATTCAAGGATACTTTTTTGATTTAATAGAACTGGCTTACACATTTGAGAAGTGTTTGAAACTTTTGCCATGGCTGCAGGACTTACATTCTTTTTGGGAGGGTGGGGGAGACAGGGAGTGGTAAAGGGAGAGAGTTACAACTCCACCTGTGGTTGTATATACTTTTCTGCTTATCACTCTGTCACCTAGACTGTGAGAGGCTTTGCCTTCAGTCAGAGCAAAAGCGCAGGGCCTAATACTGAGTGACAGCACCTGCTTCGGGTGAATAGGTTTTCTCACTCTACTCTTCTCTTCTCCTCCTTTCACTCCCTCCCCTCCCCAAACCCCGGCTCAGCACAGTGGACTAATTGTAGCGTTCTGCTCACGAGGCCCTCCATTCCTAATGTGTTTCAGGAATCTTTTTAGGAAACATGTCCAGAGCATTCGTCCACTTTTTTAGTGCCTACTAACAACTCCTTTTTTTCTCTAGAGAGTTATGAAGGAACAGGTTGTCCTTGTCTGGAGTCAAGCTAAACACATGATTTGTTTTGTCAGCAGCGGGAGCAGAAGTTGAAAATGTCTTTCTGTGAGACAGTAATTTGCTACTGAAGCTTTATGGCTTGCTCGCACTGATTACTCCGGGATCCTAGAGCTTGGTGAAAGTCACCAAGCCGCAAGGCGAATTCCGTAGAGCACTGAGTGTCCCACACCGTAGCTTGCGTGACGAATGTGAATCCCACTGGTGTGACACAGGAAATCGTGTAGTTAAATTCTCTAAACTGAAGTACTGACCTAATAAAATTGATGACTCATTGTCATTTTCCATTTCGGCATTACGGGGACAAGTTGACATATTAATCTCTTTGCTTCCCAGTAAGTTTAGCTTTTGAATTGTGTTTTCCCTTGTCCTGTCTTTAGATATATGTGTTGCCATTAATAGTGGATTCAGACTACACTATTTGAAAGTATGAAATTTTGAATTGCATCAGTGCTTTTAATACTGAGTTTTGGAGTAATTGTGCTATCTTGTAGCGAGTTATTAATCATAGTAAGATTTTTTTCTCTTCATTTGCTTTTTGTTTCGTATTAACAATTTTTTTTTTTCACACGGACACAACCCTCCTGACAGTCTTTCCAAATATTTAAATCATTTGACTATGTATGCTGTGATTCGAACACTGCCCAAATCATCAAGCAGTCTTCATATAGTTTGCATTATAAAATTTCATTAAATTCTCCAAGAAAAGCTAAATTTCGGAAGAGTTTTATTTCCTGACCATGCCTCCCCGGATTCCTGAACCTCAGGTCAGACCGTAGGTGACAGTTTGAGCTGCCTTTAGCAGTTGTCAACACCGAGTGCTAAGCCCACTTGTCCCCATGGAAGCAGCCCGTAGTTCCATGAAGTACGGATTACCATTTGTATTTTTCACTAACAGTAAATGTATTTTTCTTATTAATTGTTTGCCTTAGGAATGATGAATTACATTTTTTGTTCCTTCTTACCATAAACATCTGCATTCCTCAGCTCAGCCTTCCTTGTATGTTGTTCCTTTATAAATGGTTGAGCTGCCGATGCAGGTATTGCCAAGCTAACAGTACAAATCATTTTAAAGAGGAAGCTGGCGCGTATGGCAGCCGAGGAGCACACTCTGCAGGACACTGGACAAGACAGTAAATATTCAACTTTTAATGCTGATTAAAGGAGTATAGGTAAAGAATACGTAGGTATACATGATTGGTGAGACAAATATTCACTTTATTTATATTTTATATATTATTTTTTTAATTTGGTAAATACTATCCAGTTTTGTAGTTGTCCTTGTTGATTTGTGTGATATTAAAGTATTAGTAATAATTATCAGGAGACTATCACTAGGGAGGGTGTAGTCGGTTGCTGTTTGGACTGGGAGGGATAATTTAAATTTAGTGCTAGAAACCAATTTTAGTGACTGCGCAGTTTATCATTTGTCAGAGAGAAGGTAGCTGTATAGCTGCCCTTTAAGTCAGATCAAAAAGTTCAGAGAAAGATTAGTAAATATTGATGGATAACAATAAACAATGTATTTTTCTAACATCTTAACATGTCCTCCCCTTTAGGAGGAAGAACGGGCAAAACGTGAGGAGCTAGAACGAATTCTGGAAGAGAATAACCGAAAAATTGCAGAAGCACAGGCCAAGCTGGTGAGTAGGAACCTGTGTGAGGGCTTCTGCACTGATTAACTTTCTTCCAGCTGTATGACGCTGCTTCCTGTTTTATAATTTGACTTCTTTTAAAGCATTTAGGGACTTTGTATTTCAGGCCAGAAGGAGAATAGTTGAGTAGATTTTTAATGCTGATCTGGAGAGAATTCCCAAATTTGCAGTGGTTTAAAACAGGTTTTTGACCTCATTCTTCTTTCCTAACTTTTTTCTATTTGTTGTTGTTGTTTAATCGGTAATTGATGGGCAGTGTTGTATTTTGTGGTAGTTGTCATACCAAGCATTGGAGCAAGTGTACCAGAGTATAAACTGTTTTCTATTCCTACCTTATAACCTAACCATAAAGAGACTTTCATACTTACATAATAGAGATATAAAAGGGAGTATAGAGCAATTGAAAAGTTGTAATAACGAAGCCAGAGTGAGAATCTGTTTAAAAATAGGAAAACACCACTTCTGTTTTTCTGCCAACTGTATTTTTAGTGCTTCTAGTTTAGCATTTTAATGTAGAATATTTGATGTTATGAGGTGTTTGCATTTATGAGTCTGAATGTTTTTTGAAGCAGTCTCAGTCTGAAGAAAAAGAAAGCTAAAACTAAAGGACCATGTATATTGGTAATCCACAACACAGGACAAGATGAGTAGTATAAGAAAAAAAAATTTTTTTCTCAGTGAAGATGGTGCAGAGAGAGAGTACTTCAAAGTAAAACTGCAGCATACATCCAGACAGCAGGAAGATGGTCCGGGGTGATGGGACGGGGCATGGTGGGAGTGGTATTTAGTACCCAAGCCTGAAGACACGCCCTGGGACGTTCTTAGTTTTAGTCATCTGGAATATCTTGTTTGGCTAGAGCTAGTTGAGAATACAGCCCAAGAAAGTATTTGTTGCTTAGTCATTGCAGGAAGGAGTTAGGCCTGGAGAGTGAGCAGGTTGCAGACTTCTTACTTCTTAAGAAAACTCTGTGCCTGTGTTTGTAGATGGCAGAGAAAAAGATCGTGGCAGGTGCAGTGAATTGGCAGTGGGTCCCCCTGAGAGTGGGCTACAGGAGGACAGGAGATGTGTCCCCCAGTTGAGAAGATGACAGAGCAGAGTGAGAGCTGCAGAGCTGCACCCTGTCCATGGAATTGCAAGGCCCTGTTTGGGGGTCCCCTCCCCCATTGCAGGAGACAGCAAGGGTCTTTTGGAAGCCTCCGTGGGGCGTGGCCTTCTGAACCTTAGTTTGAGCCTGCTGTTCCTGATTCCAGACTGCATTGAATATAGCTTATACTGTTTTGAGCTGTAGATGTTGATGTGGGTTTGGGATTGGGTAGAAACAACCTGGAAGGATTTTGAGACACTGTAGAAAATGTGTATGTTGCTTTAAAAAAGGCTTGGTGGAAATACAAACTTCTGGTCAGGGCTCGAAAATAAATGGAAGACCTACTGTAATGGAAACAGAAGGAGGGTAGGTCCCAGTGCTGTGCAAGGCAGAATTAACTAGAAAGGAGTTTGTGTAAAACTCAAAGGCGCGTTGGGCTGCTTCGCCCCGGAGACTGGCGAGGAGACAGGCCATCCCGAGTGTGCCCAGGCTCCAGCTGTCGCATGGCATTTAGGCGGGCCTTGGCAGGAAGAGCGCTGGCAGGGCCAAGGGTGGGGATGATCTCAGGGAAATCGCGGGATCCCTCCTGTCCTGTGCTGTGCCCTGCTACAGCCCGCATGCGGATTCCTCTGCCCCAGTGTGTAGAATTGGCTGCCAGTGCTGGCATGGAGGGGACTGGTGCTGACACTGGGAGGCCCGGCTGTAAGGCCTCTGCCTATGCTGGTGCAGTATGAAGGCTCTTGCCAGGTGCTAAAACTGAGAGATTCCACGTCTTGATCATTTACCCAGTGGGTGGTATTTTGTTAGAGCAGTAGCAAATGTACTTAGAACCACGAAGTTTCTGAGACTGTCAGCAGAAATGCCACCACTGAGTCCTAACGGACACTGAGGGCATGGCGAAGGGAGGCTGTCAGACGCCTAAGAGTACTTGCCCTAGATGAGGGGAATAGGCTTGGGGCCAGGGTCTTCTCTGTGGAGTGATGTTTTTCACAGGCCACCTGCCAGGGGGAGAGGTGAAGGGCAGATGCAGGTCCTCTCCCCAGTTTCCCGGCAGCACCTGGGCTGCGCTGCTGGTGCTGTCACTGCCGTGAAGGGCTCTGTTCTAAGCCATCCAGCTCAGGGTGCTTCTGTGCAGCAAGTGGGGGAAGGCAGTGCACAGGAACGAGAGGAGGCTGCTAGTGTGCAGGACGGTGAGCTGGCACCGTGCTTGGGCTCTGATAGTGCTGTGTGTGTGTCAGCTGATCGCCTCGCCTTTGGGATGGAGGGGATGAGGGACAGATTCTCAGCCAGTGTCAGAGAGGCTTGTTCCTCTGTCAGGGTCAGTGTATTTAGTGCAGCAGCTTTACAGAATTCACTTTCTAGATGCCTGTCAGTGAATGCATTGAAGGACAGAATCTGGGAGCTGAGGAAGGCTGTCAAAGAGGGGCTTGCCATGCACAGAGCAGCAGTTCTCAGAAGCTGGAGAGGGCAGGCTATCAGTAAACTTGTGCAGCTTGGGTTGTGTCCGGGCAGTAGGAACGGCAAGCGACTGCGTATGACCAGAGCAGACAGACCCTCGGTGCAGCGCCGGAGATGAGCAGGTGTGTGGAGAAAAGGGAAGCGCACCGCAGGGCACGGCACTGAGGAGGGATGAGAGCTGTGCTTTTCAGGAACATAAAGGCTAAATGTGTGGGAGGTAGTGTGTGTCTCCTGCGGTGCAGCGGAATGGTGTGTCTGAGCTCGGAGCCCATGAGTTCTGCACGTAACACTGATGAGGTCAGTCATGAAATTCTGTTCGGGGAGGCCTTGAGACAGGATCTCATGTGGTTCTGGTCGGTCTCGAGCTCATGGTGGGGCATAGGCTGGCCTGGAACTTGCTGGGAATGCGGGTGTGCACCACTGTGCCCAGCTCAGAGTCACTCTTAATCACTTGTTGGCATGTGTGCTAACAAGAGTGTGATTAAAGTGAGAGGAGCAAGTGAGGACAGTCTCTTCATGGGGTAGCTAATGATCTTCCGCTCTGTCTTCTGGTATTGGGAATGTAAATCAGGACTGAGTTTTCCTGACTAGCACTGTGCTGCTGGGAGAACCCTAGCCCTGATAGTCTTGTGTGCACTTGGGACCACGTGTCCTGTGTAGGTAACTGCAGGCATTATTTGTTGCCACAGTGCAGGGTCCTTGTGTCTCTTTTTCAGGGTCAGGACTACAGCATCTCGTTTATTTTTTTATTTTCTTACTCATTTGATTAGCTGTAGAAAGGTATATAGTAATACAGTGTTTTTAAGTGGTAGAGTGGATCAGGATTTGTGTCTTGGGAGGTCTAAAATGCCAGAGGTCACATTTCTGAGGAGCAGTGTGAATCCTAGTTGGGTCATTTTTGTCCACATGTGGACTGCAGCAGTGTGTGTGTGTGTGTGTGTGTGTGTGTGTGTGTGTGTGTGTGTGTGTAAGTGGTGAGTGGGTCTCAGTGTCCTTACCTGAACATCAAGGGATGTTGGTGAAGGTCACAGACAGTTTAAGAGTGGTGTAAGTAATGTTACGGAAGACTGACTGAGGAACATCACCGGGAGAGGTGACCCAGCCTTTGTCTGTCTGCGGTAGCACACTTTGCTTGTGTCTCTTCCTTTGTACCTGTCACTCTTAGAAGTGGAGGCTGTCTTGGGTACAAGGACCAGCAAGGTCTGTCCTAATGAGTTTTTTCCTTGGTCTCTGCTATGTCTGCCACACAGTCCTATGGATCAGCTGAATATTTTACTCTCCTTTTTGTGAATATTTTTCTTCTGCCTCAATGTGAAATAAATGCAGAGAAGAAAACAGTGGATGTTTTCTGGCAAGCGTTTTGGTCAGGATGTAAACCACGATTTAGAAAACACCTAGCAAACAGGTATGGGGTTAAAGCCACAGGAGGATGGGGCTGGAGGTTTAGCTCAGCGGCATAAGTGCCTGCCTTGCAAGCAGGCAGTTGTGAGTTTGATCCCCGGTACCGATAAAAAGGAAAAAAAAGACCAAAAAAAAAAAAAAAACACAGGAGGATCCCCGGACCACCGTTTACAGCGGAGTGACTTGGGGTTTTGTGTTAAGGAGCCTCACCCTTCTAGGAGTGTGAGGCTAAGGCAGAGTGAGAGACATGTGCTTTTCTGTACAGGCAGAGATCTGCCTGCCTCCCTGGCTGCCTGTCTTGTGGTGTGAAGTGCTACAGAAGGATGTGGCATTCCGAACTGAGGCTTAACTGGGACAGGTGGACTGCTCCTGGCAGACGTACATGCAGTCTCACTTCAGTCTCCTGGGTTTGTGGCCGGGCTGAAAAGGACACTTGATTTTTTTAATAAATGTAATGAAAAGTAATTTCAGTGCAGTATAATTAGTATTTTGTGTTTTTGAAGAAGTTGCTTTATTTTAAATGTTGAACTCTTTGATTAGGTAATGTGATCTTAGGGTTGCATTTTTCCCCCCAAAATAAAAGTCTAGTTCCTCTCTTTTTTCCCCCATCTATCTACTGATTACTATTTTCCATATTTAGTTAGACATAAATGCATATTTTTGTTCTCATTTATTGCACAAAAGTCAATGATTTGTGGGGTTGGGTACTTTGCTTTTTTCACGGCAGTTGAGTCTTGCAGACTCAACTGTTGGAGAACATGGCCTCTCTCCACCACCACCACTCTGTTTTAAAGCAGCTGTATAGTAGTCTGTTTTAGAGATCTGTGATTCAGTCAGTGGGCAATTGAGAAGCATTTTTCTCCAATCCTCCTGTTACAAGTGCATTGCCATAAACAACCTTGGAAATATAGCCAGTGTTGTGTGTGTGCACGCTTTCCAGGACACTGCATAAAGTTAGGTTGTTGAGTAAAAAAGCAGTATATGTTCTGTTCTGTTCTGTTATTTTTGGTACCAGGGATCAAATGCATGACCTCGCGCTTACCAAGCAAGTGCTCGAGTTCCTGAGCTAAATCACTGGCCCCTCATAAAAGTGTTTTAAGAAGTGCAGTTTTAAAGCTGGTAGTGGTGGCTCACACCTGTAATCCCAGCACTTGGGATGCTAAGGCAGGAGGATTGTTGCGAATTTGAGACCAGCGTAGGCTACAAAGTGAGCTCAAGGCCAGCCTGAACTGCACAGGGAGACCCTGTCTCAAAAAGACAAAGAAAAAAAAAAAAGAAAAATGCAGTTTTAGTATTATCAAAGTATTGTTTATTCAGATAGCATATACTGTCACACACATTTTTGTCAGTGGGATTGGGTAAAATATGTACTCTTAATTTTAATGAAATTCCTCTGATGAATTGAGGTTGTAGTACTTAGTACTACTATTTCTTTTTCTGGTCCTTTCAGCCTCACTCCCCAGAGTTCTTCCCGCTTCCTTAGGGCTGGGTTGGATCAGGGAGACCGGCCTGAGCCTTCGTTGCATTGCAGCAGAGGCTTCCCAAGCACGCATATACACACACATGTGTGCACAAGCACAGAGAGCTCAGCTGTGTGCTCCAAGCTCTTGCCTCTGCATGTGGGGTTTATTGAAACTGGGTAAAGTAGTTAGCATATGAGTTTCCTGAGGATCAGAAGCATGTAATTATTTTGTGGTAGTTATTAGTGAAAAAAGTCTTACGGTCATGGCAGGTCACAGTGCCTTTTAATGGGCAACTAGGGTATCGGTGACAGGAAGGTAGCAGAGCCCCAGTCCTTTGGGAACTTGGGCCATTCTGTAGCTGGTGGGAGCCATGGGCGTGAGAGGGTCAGGAACGGCAAATCAGGCTGTCCTTACAGGATGCATTGAACGGCAGTGGAAACAGGAGAACTACTAGAGGGGTGCGCAGGGAGGGTGGTGGTGGAAATGGAAACAAACTCTGGAACAGGGAAAAGAGGAAGGAAGAAATCTCGAACTGCTGGCCTGTCGGGGAAGGAGTGGACAAGGCTGAGCTCAGAGTTTGGATGCAGAGAAAGGCGGCTGACTTCAGGACGGGCTGGCCCGGTACACCTCAGATTTCCAAGGGACACTGAACTGTCTGGGAGGTGGTATCCCCTGGCCAGTGGCACATGGGGCGCAGGAAGGAGGGCAGAGCTCTCTGCCAGTGGCACTCCTGCTTGCCTTGTCTCAGGTGGGCTTGGCTGCAGGGGATGCGCTGTGCCAGTGCTGCGTGTCCTCTGTGTGGCAGTCTGCCCACCACACCGTGTTCCTTGTTTTGCTGCCCGTGGAATGAACTCTAAGGTTTGTAATCCCCCTCAGCCCGAAGGCGTGAGCAGCAGTGGTCAGCCTTACAGAGACAAGGGCCTTGACGTTAGCTTACTGGCCATATTGAAGACAGCGTCGTTAGAGTGATGGAGTAACGGGTGTAGACTTTAACTTGGAATTGGAGAAGGGCTTGGAAGGCAGTCCAGAAGAGACAGCGAGTGCTTTAAAATCGCAATCGGAAAGCGGGAAGGGAGACAAATGTGATGGGTTAAAAACTCAAGGCTGAGAAAAGGTCGTCTTGGTAGTGGCCCTGTTTAGCTCAGGGGGCGTGGAGCCCTGGGAGTGTGTCCTGCATTGTAGGTGCGTAGCTTTGCTGTGGTCCTCTGCTGTCTTAGTGCACCCCAAGTTGTGCCACACTGTCACTCGCTGTTGCTTCATGTCCCTTAGCAGAAGAGGAGTTTCGTCTGGCTGAGAGTGAGGAAGTGAGTGTGGTATCTTTGGAAGGCAGGAAGGAGAAATGTGTCAAAGATAGAGTTCATGAGAATAGCCTGACCTCTCTTTATAAAGAGGTAAGACCTTCTGTGGAGAAACACAGGAAGGAAGTGGGTTGCTTAAGATACAAGGCGAGGGACTACCAGAATTAAAGGATCACTTGACATTAGGTAGCGTCTAGTCAGCTCAGGCAGGTGCTGCATGTTTTCTTTCCAGGGTGCTGGGTCTGGGTCTAAGGAATTTTTTGCTGGGTTGCATGAGGACAGCATAATGTAGCTCCAGTGGAAATTTTTCCTGTGAGGCTTGTGCCTCTTTCTAATTAGAAAGGTGTAATTGGTGGGTAACATGTGTGAATTAATCTGTGCCTTGGTTTATAACCACAATTTGTTAACCTGGTGACTGAAGGTAGAGGGACTCCGAGGCTAAACTCAAGGAATGAGTCATAGACGTGCACATTTTTGGAGTTTTGAGTTTTCCTACAATTTGTTAATTTATTATTCATAAAAATGTCGCAGAGTTACTAAGAATTCTTCCTAATTTCCTTGGTCTTTGGCACTCTGTCCAGCAGGCTGCTGTGCGTGGTCTCCTGCAAGCTCGCGTCCTAGCCCCAGTGCTAGCCGTCTTGGTGTGGAGATCCTGGAAACTTACTTTTCCTTTTCACTTTCAGGCTGAAGAACAGTTGAGAATTGTTGAAGAACAAAGAAAGATTCATGAGGAAAGGATGAAACTAGAGCAGGAACGACAGCGGCAACAAAAAGAAGAGCAAAAAATTATCCTGGGCAAGGGAAAGTCCAGGCCAAAACTGTCGTTCACATTAAAATCCCAGGATTAAATCGCAAACTCTGGACTTTTTACAAAGGAAAATGGAAGAACTTTGTATGGTAGCTTCATGTTGAAGTGGTTTTTTTGTTTGTTTTATTTTTTATTTTTTTTAAATTTGGAAAATCTGGAAAGTTAGCTTGTTCTAATAGGGGCTATGCTCTGCAATCCCTTTTACCCATAACTTCCGTTGTCAAACCCTTATCAGGTCATTGCTGTCCTCTAAAAAGTGATATATTTTTCACCTGTTTGGATTCTGTACTAGTGGTCTGCAGAAGAGATCACTCTGAAACTATAGATGGTCTGATAAGGTTTTTACTGATTCGCTCCGCTGACCTCAGAGTTCTATATACTCTGTGTAATACATCATAGTGCTGGTTCTGCTGACTTTTTGTTTTTTTATATATTTATAAAAAAATAAAAAGTTGGTAATTCCATTGGAAAATTCCCAGGTTATTACTGAACCTGTGTGGTGTATTGTTAACCAGTGTCCCTGTGATACTGTTGCTCTTGGTGTTCCTGATACAGGTAAGGAAACAGTTGGGTCAACTCTGAAAATACAGACGTATACAGTTCAGTATTGTCTCTGTTCAGTTTGTTTTTATTTCACTGACAAAAATCAAACCAGCATTCCCCATTGTGTAAATAAATGATTTTGCTGAATAAAGTCAAGTCTTAAATTCATATGTTTAAGCAATTTTTTTTCAAGTTCTGTTAAGTCTTAAGAGGGTTGTTTGCTTTTTGATGGTCAACAGTTTAGAATTCTATACCTCCTTTCATTTATAGTTCTAACAGGGCTTGTGTGTACATTAAATGTACTTATGGATTGGTGTTTGACTGCTAATTTTTCAAATACTTTTATGCCAATAGAGCAATTACAGTATCATGCATTACCTTTAAGAAAGATTAGCACCACCTAGAAAGTTTTTCAACTTGTGTCTGTTATAGAAAATAAATATTATAGCAACTTAAAAGATTAGAAAAATGCATTTAAGATTTTATAGAATATTAGACTGTTTTCAAATGAAGGTCATCAGAATTAGCTTTGTTCATCCAGAAAAGGCTAAGTAGTCAAACCACCTGTGCATGTTTATTTTTGGACAAACATTTAAACTTCCTATAGGTTTTTTCTTTCTGGTTTTTTTGGTTTTTTTGTTTTTGTTTTTGTTTTTGTGCATGTGAAATCTTAACCAATGATTCAGTTTTATACACTTGACTCTCCTTCTTCCTTATATTTAAGTCAGCTGGTATTAAAACCATTGGAGAAAGGGTAAGGCTAGAGTGCTTCCTGAGGTGTACAGATGGGAAAAGTTCCAGCATTTCTGAGAGGGCTGGATCCTTCTTTAAAATTGATAACATTTAGGTCAATGAGGTGACTAAATGCTAGATTGTTTTGTACATGCATGCTAAGAAAAAAATGTTACTATTTTCCTCTTTGATGAGTTAATTGTGGTAAGGAACAATAAAATCAGTTTAAATACCTTTAAAGACAGAGTCTTAAAAAGGCATGAACCCTAGTGAGAACTTTTAGAAACATAATACCTGTTACTCTGGAACCGGACATGAAGTTTACTTCCTTAGAGCATAAGTTGCCTGTCAGTGTTTATCTCTGCAGGTTAGCTCTACTTCCTTCATGAGTTTTAAAACTTTATTTTCCTTAATGTTAACTTTCGATGCAGATTTCATTGTTCCTAAGTTGTGTATTGGGGTTTTTGGAAATGTCTCTTAAAAACTTGTTTTTGCTCTACTGGTGTTCTAAACATTGTATCTAAAGAGAGGAGCCTGGACTAAAAACATTTGAAATCAGCTCATGCCTGCCATTTAGTGTTTTTACCCTTTCTGACTGCCCCATAGGTGTGAGCTCAGGAGGCTGCTTAGAAGTGGGGACTACAGTGTCTGTTCCCTGGGAGAGAAGGGATCGGGGAGCTGCCAGCCTGGTCCCTGCTTGGGCACTGCCTGCGCTGTGTCAGGCTAGGGGCTAGAGGAAGAGAATGTAACTGTCAGAGCAGCCCAAGGTTTTCTGTGGTGCAACAGTGGTCATTTGTTTCCACTGCCTTTGTGTATATGCTATGAAAGTCAGTCTGCTAGTTCAGTTGTTTCCTAATTTATTAAATATGCTTATATTCAAACTTTGTTTTCTTAGTTTAGTAAATGCATTATAGAATTAATGACTTTATTTTTATGACAGTATTTAAAATATGTAGTTAACTGCCGTTTATATTGTGGAGTTTGTAGAATTATCAATTGTAAAAAAAAAAAACCCTTTAAATTAGCTTCGTGTGAGGAGTCTTTAATGCTTCAGATAGTGGCAGAGCTCATAGTTTTAGCCTTACTACAGTTGCCTTCCTGTTTTGTTTTGTTTTGGAGTTGGCCTGGTGCAGGCGGGCCTCAACTTACTTGGTGATCCTCCTGCCCCAGGTCACTTGCTGAGGCATACATTTGTGCTAGTATGTGTCCACAGCTTCTAAGTGCCACTTTCCCTAATAAAGCAACATCTTAGGACATCAGTGGTTTTGTATTTCTTTGTAATTGTCTCAAATAAAATAAACACAGAATCCTGGCTCTTTGAGCTCATCATTTCCTTGCTGCATTTTACATGAAGGGTCCTCAGGTCAGTAGGTTGTCAGCTAAAGCCCTGCGTTCCTGTGGCTTTTCCTCTGCTCAGAGCCAGCCATCCGCCCTGCCCTGCTCTGCTGGCTGGCCGTGGGAAGCGCTTGAGGTGAGCCGTCTTGCCTGTTGAGGCTGGAGAACACTCAGTACTGTTGTACAGGCTACTTAGGACCTCAGGGCGTTGCTGAAGGCAGGACATTAGAAGTCTCAAGTTGCTGCTGGCACCTGAGCAGTTTGCCCCTCCCCCCATGTTTCTGTCTGCTAGACTGCCTGAACAGTTGTGGGGTCATCCCAGACGTGGTTCGTCCTGTGTTTGCGTTACTCCTTGGAAGCTCCTCTGTCTCACCTGGAAGCTGGAGCTGGAAGCTTGGCTGATGGTTGCGATACACATTGTGCAGCCACTGGCTGTTACTTGTGTGTGTGATGGTTGGTTGTGCCGCACAGTGTGTATTTAGTTAAATGATTGGGAGCTTGGAAGTAATGGAAAGGGAGGTCTAGAGGACCAGGGAAGTCTGTGTGACTTTCCTCCCACCCCACAAAGCAGTAGCACAGATGGGAATGGCTGCCGTTAGATCTCTTACAATTCTTGCCAGTTAGGCATATGTCCTTTGATACCTCAGTAATCCATGCATTTAAAAAGCAAACACCTCATTGGAAGTTGGATTTGAAAAGATACCCTTTTTTTGAGCCTCCAGTGGTCCATCAGAGTATGTGGGAGAATCCAGCAAAGTATTGTTTTCAACAGTCCAGTAGTGTCAGAAGTTGCGCAGATATACACATTTTTAGTGTTGATGCATTTTCTAAGGTTGGTACAACTTGATTACCAAGCTTTACTTACTAGGGTTAGAATGAAATCAAGTGTTGCCTGTTTATATGTGATTGGTCCTTTTCTGTGCTTTCACCCCGAGTGGACAGATAAAGAATGAAAGGAGTGCATTTGCATCTGGACCTAAGCCCTCTTGGAACTCTGTACAAGGTGAGATGCTGGGAGTGTGGACCAGAGGAAAAGAGCACCGTCACCTTGTTACTGCTCACAGTTGACCTTGTGTTCCATCCTCGTGCTTGTGTGTCATATTCATAGAGCTTCTGTTGAGAGAGGTTAAAGTAATCTGAGTAATAACCAAGGCTTCGCACAGCTAGACCCCGCCTGTTCTGTTCCCGCAGTTGCGCACCAGGCGGATTTGGAGGGCGAATGGTGTGTGGGTTCTGATGAGAAAGTGAGGCTTCCTCCAGCTGCCCAAGCTAGTTGGAGCCCTTACTGCTTTTCTTGCATTAGTAATGCTTTAAAAGGTAAAACAGGTTGAGCTAGAGATTTAGGGGACCTTTACTGCATTCTGCTCCATGATGAGAAAGTTTGTACAGTCTGTAAGATACGAGTTGTCACTAAACATCCCAGAGGAAAAGTGGTTCTCTTAAGAGTAATGTCTTTTTCCTGCCAAATGTAAATAGACTCTAATTTTAGATGCGTCAGTGTACAATAATGTGAATCTCAGAAGCAGACGGAGGGGTGCCCGGCAAAATTTATTTTTAAGAATTTTATTCCTGTTCAGAAAGATCTTCCCTTTGGGTAAACTGGGCAAAATGGTTTGCCAAAGACGTCTGAGAATTTCAGTGATTTGCAAGAGATGTTTAATGCCAGCAAACAAGGTACAGTTTTAAGATAAACTTAGAGGTACACATAGAAAATGAGTGGTTTGCACAACACTCAGGCTCATCAGACAGTAATTTTTCAGCAGTGTTACATGTAGGTAGGGTTTACTTTTACAGAAGTCTTGTTACATGTCTTCTAAAGTTAGGAATTCATGGAATATTGTACAAGGAATGTATAAGAAACAAGTTCTAAGCCAGTGGGCATTCATGGTTACTTTAGCGAGGTATAAAGTGATGACCGTCTTAGTTTTAAGCCAGAATTCTTCAGCCTTTGTATTTGACACCTCATTGTACATTTACTCAGCAGTCTTAAAATTGATTATGGAATTGTAAAATCTTCCATAATTGGACTGGGAATCGGCCTCAACTCCAGTAAACAGTGATGTGTCCTTTGCTGAAATCTAGTGTTTTAGGATGGGCTTCACTGCATACTGGTACAATCCCAGGTTTTTTGAAATAATCACGAGTTTAAAATGAAGACCAAATACAAAGCGGAAACTGTGATGGTCCTTTGGCACCACTGTGATACCTTTGCTTGGTGCAACACATGGGCAGTAGTGGATGCGGGTGGCAGGAGGGCAGTGGTGAGTGAGACTGAGCTCTGAACTGTGGGCCTCCGGGTCATCCAAATTGGCTACAAATGCTATTGCCTTTTGCTTGGGACTACACCAAATCTTCATTTGCTAAAAGTAAGCTATATTTGGTAAAAGTATGTTCCCACACTTCCAAAAAGTAATAGTCTTCACATGGAATTTGTTGTGACATACAGTTTTTTTAAACGCCTTTAAACATAATTACATTTTTCCAAGGTAAAATGCTTTTGTGTTTACTACACATGATAGTTTGGAGAAGTTGCATTATTTCCAGAAGATACAGATACCCTGTTTCCTCTGCTTTCTTGGGGAGAGGAGCTAGGGAGCTCAGAGGGCATAACTCAATTTCACAACAAACTGGCTAAATACAAAACTCACTGCTAGGCCCGGCCTTAGATCATACAGCTGACTATCTAGGATTTCAGCGAATTCCTCAGTAGCTTCTTTAAAGAGTCCTTTGGAATAACAGCCCTCTGCCTCTTCCTGGTTTTAGTCTTGGAACTTTGCCAAATCATAGCACCGGTGAGTCTTGTTTCAAAATTGCAATTGAAAGCTTATTTATAACAATTACAAAAAGAGACTTTCTAGGTTAAAGATCTGTTAGAAAGTGCACGCATTTGGTGTTTTGCACGCCTTAGTATATTTTTGAGCTTACAGTCTTTGTAAGTGGTAACGCTCCACTGAAATACTCCAGCTGAAATATGCCCTTAAAATGTTTCTATTTCAAAACGACTACAGAGAAGCAAGTACCGCTGAGAGGCTGAGGGGCAGGGTGGTGCCAAGTTCAACCCCAGCCTGAGCAACAGACAAGACCCTTGAAAGGGGGAGGAGGTTGGGGCACAGTGCAAAGGCCCTGGGTTCATTCCCTGGTACTGGAAAATAGTTTTTTTTTTTTGGGGGGGGGGAGTCAGGAACGAGGCACATTGAAAACTCCCCAGAACTTTTTATAAAGGAGAAGGTAAAATACTTTTTGCACTATGGACTCCTGAATTTAACTTAGTGGAAAATGCAGTTAAATAAAATTTGTGGAAATGCTGTGTTTCCTTCCTTTGAAGGAACCCTGACGTGGACAGCATTTAGAAACAGTGGGCAGACCGCCCGCCCCATTGTTTGATGTGCACACCGAGCGGGGCCTGCGCCGCGCCCCGTTTCCGCGGTGCGCTCCCCGTCGTCGCCTCCCCGCAGATCCGCTCTGGCCTGGTCTCGGTCCAGTCCCCGGACGCGGCCTTGGAGGTGGACGCGGGTTCCGGGGCGCGCGCGCTGCAGGGCTGGGCGCTAGTGGGCGCTGTGGGTCTGCGGAAGGCACTGGCGCGGGCGGCTCGGAGCTACAGCTCAGCGCGGCGCGAATTCGGGATCTGAGCCCTGCGCGGGCCCCGGCGCGGCTACTCGGTCTCAGCGAGGACGTAGCTGGGTCCCCACTTCTCCGCGTCCCTCTCCAGGCCCGTGCACAGGATGGGAGGAGCGCCGGCTGGGCCGCCGCGGAGCGCGGGGCTCGGGGAGGGGGAGCAGAGACGGGCGCGAGGCTGGGCCCCGACAGAGGTGGGACTGTCCAGGGCCCAGGTCGAGGGGGACGATGGGGGCTCCGGAACGCTGCACGCGAGTCGTCCAGCACACTGGGACCTCGACTGGGACCCCGGCGACCCCGATCATGCACGCAGCGAGCTTCGCGCTCCGAATCCTCCTGCCAGGCTGCGGTGATGCGGCCCCACGAGGAGGTCTCCACGGGGAGACCGTCGGTGGCCTAGGGCCCTAGCGGTCCCCGCGTCGCCATCGCCATCGCCGTCCCCGCTCCGCCCGCCGCCGCCGCTGCTGCCGCCGCTGCCGCCGCGGCCGCCGCTCCGGGGCGCCTGGCACCCGCGAGCTCCAGTCGCCGCCGTCCGCTACCTGTCAGCCGAGCCCCGCCTCACGGCACCCAATGCCGGGCGGGGCGGCGGACGGACGGGCGGGTCGCCCAATCAGCGTGGGGCTATGGCGCGGCGGGCCAATGGGCCGCGCGCGGTGGGGCGGGGCCCCGCGTTTATAGCGCTCTGACAGCGCGCCCGCCGCGCTGACTCTCCGCGGCGGGGACGGCGGCGCCGGCCGGAGCGACGAGCAGCGCTCAGCGGGTCCCGAGCCCTCCCCGCACACAAAGGCCCGCGCGCCCGCGCCCGCGGTGGGGTCGGACCCGCCCAGCTGTTCCGTGGGCCGGGAGCTGCAAGGACAGAGGAGGCGCCCTTCCTGCTCCGTTCGCCGGGACATGGAGCCGCGCCGACGCGGCGCCCGCGCGCCCGGGCCGCTGCCCGCCGCCCTGGATCTATAGTCGCCGCGACTCGCGTCCGCCGCCTCTGCGCCCTGCCCGGCACCCTGGAGCCGCACGGGACCCTGCCGACCCCGCTGCGTCCGGCGCGGCGCCCCGGAACCCCGAGCCCGCCGCGCCCCGACTGCGCGCCCTAGGGCCGGCGTGAGCGCACCCGGCCGCGGCGCCCCGGAGCCCAGCCTCCCGGAGGAGCCTCGGCGCCCCGGCCCGTCCCGTCCCATTCGCCCCGGAGCGCGCAGCGCCGGAGCAGCCTCGCCATGGGCGCGCGCCGGGACTTGGTGTGGAAGTACTGCTGGGGAGTGTTGATGGTTTTATGCAGAACTGCGATCTCCAGATCCATAGTTTTAGAGCCTATCTATTGGAATTCCTCAAACTCCAAGTAAGTGGCGTCCGCAAGGTCCCTCGATCCCCGCCCCGGGGTCCCCGTGCCGGGCCGCGCCGCGCCGTCCGGGCGGGAGGAAGGCACGGCCCTCGGAGCGCGGTTCCGGAGCCTGGAGGTGGCTCCGACCCGCACCTCGCCTCCCTTCCCCGGATGCAAACAAGGCGTCCCATGCTGCACCGACCCGAAGGGGCGCCCTCCGCGCCTCTCCTCCCCGGGCGCTCAGGGGTGTCCAATGCCCCGGGCGGCACGGGTGGTGTCCTGGAAGGGATCTGGTGACCTGGCCCGAACCTCGCTGCTTTCCCCGGACACAGAAGGCAGCCGCGCCCAGGGCGGGCGCCCGGCGGCCCGGGAGACCAGAGGAGACGCGCGCTCGCTGGAGCGCAGACAGTGCAGCCAGGGTCCGCGGGCGCAGGGCGGGGGCACGGGCTGGGGTCCCGGGCAGCGGAGCGCACCCGCCAGAAAGACTGGAGAGGGATCCTTGGCGACCCGGCCGGCTCGAGGCTGTGCGGGGAGCTCGAGGCTGGACGCGGGAGAACGCGGCACGAGCCCTGGAGGTGGCCGCGGCTTCCTCGCCGGAGGGCCCTGGGCGCCGCGGCCTCTCCCTTCGAGGACAGACCAATGGCCTCGAGCTCTGTGCGGACCCGGTGTCGGGCTCTGGTTTATGGCTGCCCTCTGCAAGAGCTCGAGGCCCTGCGGAGTCGCCGCGGGCGCTGCAGCCTTGGGCCTGGGGGGCCTGGGCAGGACTGGGGTCCCGGGAGCAGACTTGATCCTGTGGAGCGGCAGAGCGGAGAGCAAGTCGGGCCTGCGAGGCCAGCAGTGCGCGCAGTGAGCACGGAGGGAGCGCGACCCTTCCCCGCACGCAGCGGTCGGTGTGTCCGGAGTTGCCCAGAGCCGCGCTCTCGGCTCGATTAGCAGACTCGGGATTTTAGGCTCGGGAAACTTGGGGCGAGTGCAGGGATGACCCCGGCTGGTTTCTGGAGCACAGGTTTCCGATCCGGAGCAAAATCAAGGGCCTAGTGAAAGTTGAACGTGGATTTTGAGAGCAATAGGGTTCAGGGGTTGGCTTAGAAATTACATCCGAGCTAAAGGATGATGTCCCTGTCTGGAAAGTGGTAAATTTCGGGTTTCCCTACGCGGGCGCCCACGTCTCTCCCCGCTGAAAGGGCCAAAACGTCACGCGGCCACCTCGGCTCCACCGCGGCACTTTCAAACCCAAAGTTACTTGCTGCAGCCTCCCTCGTGCCCGATGTCGCGCGGGGTTTGCCCGGGAACTTAAGGCGTCGCGTGGGCCGGGCCGGCGGTGGCTTCCGCGCGGCGACACCGAAGCAAGCTGGCGGCACTGGGAGCCGCTGAGCCCGGTCGGGACCTGCGCGCCGGCTGCCTGGATGGAGCTGGGGCGCGGCGCCGGCCCTGCGGGCGGCGCCCGACAGAGGGCGCTGTGCCACGCTGAATGCCGCGCGCCCCTCCCCCTCTCCCAGCCCGCGCTCCTCCAGACCCGGACCCCCCCCCATTTAATATTTACATTTAAATCTAGTTGAAAGAAATTCCCATTAATCCCTCTAAGCGTTGAACTCGGTGTATGCATCTTTGTTATGATTGACCATGCGTGGATGTGTATCTGAGAGGGGGATTAGGAAAACCTCCTCGGAAATAAAGTAGAGCGATCTTTCTTTGCATCTGAGGTCTGATCCTCTTTTCCTGAAGTGTTGCGAGGGGAGGAGACGTGTTTACGCCGCCGGGGTGCCTAAGCTTAGGGTCTTTTTTCCAGCTTCGCCACAGGTCTAGGGACCAGCGAGGGCCTGTCCTTGGAGAAGCCTTCTTTCTCCCTGGGCTCCAGGCGTTTGCTGCCGGCCCTCTGCAATAACGCTGCTCCAAAATTCCGCGGACTGCCTGCCCCAGGTCTGGGTAGAGTGTCTCGGGAAAGGGCCACTGTGGAGAAGCGGGGCTAGTGAGAGCTTGAGAGATCTGAAAGATTTCCGGCGAGATGACTTGAGGCTATTGGTGGTGGTGGTGGGGTGTTCTTTTTTTCTTTTCTTTCTTTCTTTTTTTGTTTAAGATTGAGACTGGAAGGGGCTGGGGATTTAGCTCAGAGGCGTAAGTGCCTGTCTTGCAGCAGGCAGTCGTGAGTTCGATCCCTGGTACCGATAAAGAGGAAAAAGACAAAAAAAAAAAAAAAAAAAAAAAGATTGAGACTGAATAAACCCAGCAAGGTGCCAGAGATCTGCCTCTCTTGGGGAAGGTTGCATGTTTATTTCCAGGGAAAGCTTGCATCCTGTAAATGCGAGGTGGCAGGAGGGGCATCAGATGCCCTGAAGTTTCATGTCACTTTGTCTGAAGTGTGGAACAATTCATTTGTAATGAAGCAACCATCGGTAATTAGATTTGTTTCACTGGAGGGTCAGCCTTTTTAGCAGGTGGTCGACATAGGGGGCAGGCCACAGCTGTCTGCACACAGGGCCCAGAGAACCCTTGGTAAATTCTCCGTCTCCATAGCTAGAGTCTCATTGTCTGGGGCTCCATCCCTGAGACTTTATGTAACATTTCCAAAGAAGTTCTGGGCCTTGAGACACGCGTGGTGTCCAGGGGATTTTCTCACTGTTTCTGGAGGTTCTGGTTCTGTGCAGGTCATTTCAGCCTTTTCTTTCTTTCTCCCTTCAATTCCAGTAGAAAACAGTAAAGCCTAGCCTCCTTTACCAATTAACATTTTAGTAGAACTTTCTTTTTCCCCCCCTCCTAGCCTGTTTTTGCTAAAATAAAACAACTAGCTGTTCTTAAAGTAATTTCATTGAGGACAGTAAAGCTGCAGCGGTGTGGATTTTTCAGTGATTCACTGACTTTGTTGAAAATTTGAAGCAAGCATTCGTTTGTTGTATTTAGGGTCACTGTTCCCTCTGCATCCCATATTAGTTACCAACAAAGTATTTTGCTCTTCCCATTTTAATTTTCCCCTCTGCATAATACCGAATTCCTGATATTGATTGACTTGCTCCAAAAGAATGGCTGGATAATATCCAGATAACCTGTAATACATGGGTCTCACCCCAGTCCAGTGCTGAACAAATACAGGCCTGTCAGATAGTTAAAATAAACTACAGTGGATAGTGCTGTTTAAACAGCCCATTCAGTGACATATATATGCCAGCCTGCCTTCCATTGTGTCTGAAATTCTTATTTTTGTAGGTAAACAAATGCACATTCAGGGCTGATTGAATAGCCCCTTGAACTCTGCTCCTCAGCTTGCGTTTGGGTTAATCTTGTCGGTTTTAATACAGAGAGAGGGGAAAAAACACAAAGCGCCAGGGGTGGGATTGTTGGTGCTTTCACATCCACATTCCTCACGTTTTGTCAGGATGATAAACTGTAGGTAATGGACTGTCTTGTTGCACAGGACGACCGAGCCAGGCAGAGCACAAAGACAGCGCTCTCGAGCTGTGCTCGGTGGCCTGCTTTGCAGAAGAGAATTTCTCTGGCAATCATGTGTCTCAGGGCTGCACTGCTTAACCTTCATCGTGGCAGCTTCCAGCCTCCCAAATGGGAGCTGGAGGTTAAGATGATTGGTTAAGCACTGGGTCCTAAATCTTTCACAAAGCCTACTGCTAGACTCTGGTACAGAGATATAAAGAAACTCCGACCTTCCCCAGTGTTTGTGGCTCTGAGCTTGAGCAGGAGGACTGCGGAATCAGAGACTGGTGGAAAGCTGCAGGTTAGAATAGTTTCTGCACGGGCTAGACTGAAAGATAATTGTAATATTTGTGTTAATTATCCTGAAGTCACCTCTGTCACCCAGAGGGGAAGGCAGACCCTCCTCTGTTCCGTGGTCAGGGGACTGCCTGTAGAGGGACCTCCACGTTGGAGCAGTTAAAGCCTTCCTCTCTTGGCTTCCACGGAAATATTTCTGGTTGCTCCCAGGAGCCCCTGTGTATGAAACCTAACTTTGAGTGCCTTTGCCTAATGGGAAACTATTCGAGATCTCAGTGTGACCGCCGATGCCCGCGATGCGTCACCGGAATGGGAGTGGCAGGGAGCAAGCGATGGAGGCTGTGGACCCCAGGAAAACGTATTTTAGAGAAGATGCTTCTTGAAGGTTTTATGAACACTGAACACCCTTAATTGCCAGTGAGACACGAAGAAGCCCGCCCCTGGGAAAGATGATTAGGGCACCCCTCCTGTCTCCAATCGCTGTCTTTCTTTGCAGCTAACATAAAGAACCTGTTTTTCAGGTCACTTATTTATTACCCATCTACATAGATTTGCTTATGAGCTCACCCTTTGTGTAGCGGAGGAGAGCCTTATAGAGGGGTGTTCAACTGCTTAAAATATTTTGATTAAAATATGCAGAACCCATAGAAGTATAGGTAAGGAATTAGCTCTTTCAGGGAGGAGCCTGCCCTCTCCTTTGAAGGGAGGACTGAGGAAGGGGCCGGGAGAGGAATCAGGACAACAAAGAAGGAAGGGTGGCAAATGGGACATGTTCCGAACAGCTTGGAAAAACTCCTGTGGCTTCATTGTCTCTCCAAAGCCAAAGAATACAAAGACATAAGCAATGCAGCCCTTCTCCCAGGATGGAAAACGTAAACCGTTGACAGGGCTCCCCCGTTTAACTTGTTTAATTCTCATTTTAAATTCAGCACTATACCAGCCGTGTGAACTCTGGAGGTTTCTTTAGTAATCCATTTTGTAGTTCCGAATCAAAAACAAAGTGAAAGGGTCTGACACAATTTGCTTTTATTTTTAGGCAAATCAGCCCTGGTCATAGTTAATAAGGGGATTACAACCCAGACTAGGTCTTTACAGATGTAATGTGAATCAAGGGCAGAGCATAAAGAAACTGATCCCTTTTGATTGAAGTATGGTAAAAAGGCATAGAGAAACTAGTGGCAGTAATCTGATTGTATGGCAATAACCCCACCATTTTCTGTCTTTCAGATAAAAATAATGTGGTAAATCCATGCAGTTCATAAGATGTAAAGGCAGATAAAGGGGGAAGCCATGGTAAC